TAATGAATCTGCAGCTTCTAAAATCGCATGCAACATGCACACATTCTGGCTCCGCCTACGAGAACCGCCAGGTGGTACCTCCGCGTTCGACAGTCAGAGACTACCTACGGACAATCACAACATCCATAGCCAAGAGAAAAATTTCTCCTGGGACGGGACTCGAACCCGCACCGCGCACGGCGACTGATCAGGAGACCGAAGAGTCTACTACTGCGGCCACCGCTGCAGCCTTCTTACTACTGCTTATAATGTTTTTTATTGCAGGCCAACTCTAATCCAACCGCTAGACTTTGTGCCGTTCAACTTTAAAGTGAGCGCACTATCGCCGCACCTTGCGTATTTATTCCGTTCAAACTAATCAAGATCGTTCTCGAATAGATCGCTCACCGCAGTGTTGCCGCTGCTTGTGTTTATCATGAGACTTGACAAAATTTACGGAAGCTTCTATGATTTTTACATCTTTTTAAAATATGTTGTGAGCCACCAGAATTGCCTTTGCGAGCTACCGGTAGCTCGCGATCGACGGGTTGGCGACCACTGGTATAGAGGGTAAAATATGTCGTATCCCATGAGGGAATTTATGCAAAAATGAGGATACTTCGGTTCGAATAAATCTTGTCATGACCTTTAAGCTCAAACCAAACTGGCCATAGTATCTACCGTTCCCCGGCGTTTATGTCAAACACCATCCGCACGTAAGCATCTTGGATCCTTCGGTAATCTGTCTGTATCCTACCCGGAAATTTATGTAAAACGGCCTAAATCTGGGCATCCCTGGATTTAGCGGTGACACAGTCATCTAATGCGTAATGATTTGTGTTGTGCTGCTACGCTAATTCCAAGCTTGAGCGGTTCAAACCGCCAGGACGCAGCAATGCTGACGTGGCTTAGCCTACTGACCGCGAACACAGTATGAATTATTAACTGTGGAAGCTGAAAGGTCAATATCGGTGTCAAATTACTGAAAAAATTGCATCAAGTAAGTTGACACTGAACTTCGCACACAACGCTGTCATCAGTTCGTAAAGGATTACGTTTAGCCCTTCTGAGACAAAAGTTAGCTGCGAACGTGGATAACAAAAAAATAGATGACCCTTTTTCTCCCATTGAGACGATTTCCTGCGGGTGTATCTGATCATAGCTATGACTAATCCCGCGTGGATGACGATATTGACTTTTGCAGCATATAGCCCACAGCAGCACGGAAGTAACTGCCGACTGCGACGCGACTGTTGGAGATATTTTTAAGTTTTAGGGGTAACTGTTCGAGGACATCTATGATGAGTGAAATATGTCTAATAGGTACGTAGAATTACTGAGGCTGGAGGCGTATAAATATACCAACGTCAAAGACTGGGTCTGGGATCCCCCTCAACCGCTAATTCCGAATTTATAACCCTGTCCGAAAGCCTCTGAAACGTCAAATAACGAAGTTTGAGCGATTTTTATTTTTTTGTTTTTGCCTTTTTCGTCGCCGCTACTGGACCTATTTTCATAAAACGAAAGTTTTTTCGTCTTTGGCTTAGTAGTAATCTTGTGTGAAAATTTCATCCAAGTCCGAACGACTTTTTCCACGTTATAGACTGACCAAGGATACAACATCCAAAAAACATATAATATACATCTTCCAAATGTTTCGCCAGTGGCATAGGAACTATATTCTCGAACAACCATGCTGCGCACACAATAAATCCCCAAGAACTTTCGGGTAGTAACAATATTTCTGTTTTTTCTTGCTGTCGTTAATTTTTTAAATTTTCTTTGCTTGTTGCCATTTTCTAACTCTTTATTTTCTGCCTTATCTGATTCTTTCTGGTTTCTAATAGATTGATCCAGGAATCACTAAATTCATATTCGTTTGGAAGACGTTTTGCTCTTTTTGACTCTGCAGAGAAAAACAGTTGCTCTCAAACAAGAAAAAATGGTAGGTTCCAGAGTACAAATTATCAGAGCATGAAGCGTTCAAATAAATCTAAGGACATATTTTAACACACATCAATATTTCTCCAAGTACAATATAAAAGTAGAAAGGAACAATAAATAAGTTTCAGGGTCTTTAAAGACACCTTTCCCCCTGACTGTATGTTAGAAAGAGAGGTAAAATGTGATTTATTTTCCTAAAACGAGCAGTAGTAGCGCCAGTCACATGTGCGAAGGTGTTTTATATGAGCTTCTTGTGTAGAGACTATTCGTCAGATGGAAGGCCGTTGGTAAATTTGACTGATTTTTCGACAAAATTTTTAACAGAAGCTACTTATACTACAATAATATAAGATGTCATAGAACGTTATAATTTAACAAGCGGTATTTTGGCTGAACCGAATATGTTTACTTTTCGCCTCATCAGTACGGAATAGGTATAATCTTGCATATACATTTATGAATAAATGGATCTATGTTTATGGGTGGGGCAAAAGTCGCGAAGGGATTTGAAAAATTAATAACTTTTTTAAATTTTAATTTTAATTTTTTTCCCTAACACAAAACTAAAATGCAATGTTTGGAGTTTGTTTACAATTTAAGTGTGAAAGATTACATCACGCAAATGACCGCCATTTTCAGCCTCGCAAAGTGCAGCTCTTGCAAGAGCATTTTCCATTACCCGAGTCAGAATATCTGGCCCCAAAGCACTTACTTCTGCTCGAATATTATCTTTTAGTTGCTGCAGGGTTGTGGGTTTATTAATATACACTTTTCCTTTCAGATATCCCCAAAGGAAATAATCAGGGGCTGTTAAGTCCGGCGAGCGGGCGGGCCAATTGAATCCTGAATTTCTCGAAATTAAACGTTCGCCAAAAATCTGCCTTAGAAGGTGCATAGTAGCTCGAGCAGTATGCGCAGTGGCTCCATCTTGTTGGAAAGTCATCGTTTGATTGTCAGCAAGAGCTGGTCTTAAGAAATTTTGAATCATATCACGATATCGGTCGCCATCTACAGATACAGCATTCCCATCGTGGTCTTCGAAGAAGAATGGTCCAATAATTCGTTGAGACGTAACTGCGCACCATACTGTACATTTAAGCGGATGTAATTGCCTTTGATGAACCACCCTTGGGTTCTCGGTACCCCATATTCTGCAGTTCTGCTTATTTACGAAGCCATTCAAATGAAAATGGGCTTCATCGCTCATGATCAGAGAATGAATAAATTCATTATCTTCTCGAGCCATTCTTTGCAAGCGAACTGCATAAGTTAGTCGTTCTTGAAAATCTGCTGGTTTTAGTTTTTGCACTAGCTGCACTTTATATGGAAACAGATGTAAATTTCCTCTTAATATTCTGCGTAAAGACCTTTGAGACATCTGCAGCTCAGCAGAACGTCTTCGGGTTGAGGTTTCCGGATTCTCCTGAACACTCTCCTGAACGCGTTGAATGTTCCCTTCATTTCTTGCGGAACGTGGCCTTCCGCTTCGTGGGAGATCCATAACTGTGCCTTGTTGCTGAAATCGTGCCACTAAGCGTCGAATCATTGATTCAGAGGGCGAATTCCGCAAATTGAAATGACGACGATATGCTCGTTGAGTTTGAATTATTGAATGGTGATATTCAAAATAAAATTCTATAAGTTTGGTTCGTTGATTGAGGTTGTAACGCTCCATAATTAATCTCCAGGATTTATTTTACACGGTCCTGAAAAAAAAAATGAAAACAAAATAAATTTAAAAAAGTTATTAATTTTTCAAATCCCTTCGTGACTTTTGCCCCACCCTACATAGTACAGATATGGAGTATTTGATGAGAGGATGTATGAGTCTTTCTGTCATCTTCCAATCGGATCAGGACTGTGCCATCTGTAGCAGACCACTCAAAACGATATTTTTCTTACCAAGCTTTGAATCCAAAAATATACCGAACCATCCATTTTTTACTAGGCTTATTTGAGTTTCGATCTCTATATCTCTCAAGTTCTTTCGCGCCTCTTCCAGATATCTTACGAGTTCTGCACCTTTCCAGAAAACTGGATATGTGCCAATTTACAACCAATCCCCAAAAAAGGGGTCTAATACCGTCCTTTACAACCACAGGGCTCCAGCGATCCACAGAGGACCTCCTAGCTTACGTCAATTGTGGAATGAACTTATTCGGTCTTATGCTGCGGCTCATGCCGTTGCTCTTTATATAACAAAAGCGTTCGATCAGCTGTGGCACATTGCCATCTTATGAAAACTTGGCCTCATAGGGAAGCTTTGAAGATGGCTGGCTGACTTTCTCTCTGGCCGCAAGATATCCGTCGTGATTAACGCGCTCTCCTCTTCATCCCACAACGTCAACGCGGATGTTCCTCAGGGTCACCGAGAACTTGATGTGGCACGAACAATAGCGAAAAGGCTAAGCTATTTGTTTAGGGCGAATGAGTACCTGTCTCCGCATGACCTATCCCAGGCCTAGATAAGACCTAGCCTCGAGTATTGCTCATACGTTTGGGGTACTGCCGCCTCGACCACACTTTCCATACTCGATGCTGTCCAGAGGAGGGCTGTCCGACTGATCAATGATTCTTCTCTAACAGGTCTCTGGACCTTTTCGCACCGGCGGGCCGTCTGCGATCTGTCTCTCTTCTACCGCTACACCAACGGGCTTTGCTCCTCAGAGTTCACCCTCCCATTCTAACCGGGACCACCTTCGTATGTACATCCAGACCTGGCCTATACGATCGATCCCTTATCTTGAGGGTGTCAAGACTGTGGAACAATCTACAAGAGGGGGCTACTAACCTTAGGCAGTTCAAAAACCTCCACTAGTCCGTATGTTCATCACATCTCAGGTCACGATATAACGTTGTGTTTAATGCTTGCTGAATATAGCCCCACCATCTCCTTTTGATCGCCCACGACTCCGTCTTCCCTGATTCCCTGCATATTCCCTGATATTATTCAAGTTATCGTTTTCTCCTATGACGAATTTGTAAATTTACTGCTACCAGACATCCCCTGACTACATGCTTGAACCGATCAAACACTCTAAAAATGGAAATGGAGCACCTATTTTTTATTTCATTACCTTACTGTCTATAATATAAGCTTTCATTTCTCCTACTGCACCTTATAATAGATTACTTCAATCTCTCTTGAACTCAAGATATAACAAATTATACATGAAAGGTGATCTGATATATATCACATAATTGTTGACGAAAACGTTACCCACAGCTCTCATTCCAACTCATTTTGTCAGTTCGTATTTCGCTCACATCATCATGAAGCCACACGATGAGTTGTGCGCCAAAAAATATAATAACGAACTGTATTGCTCGAAACCTGAAAATGCTGAAAGATAGTAAAAACTGACTTGAACTTTCTCTCGTCTCAAAAAATATTTTTTGGCTAAACACCTGGGAAAAAATAATGATGGAACAACTAACTAAAACGTTACGCAACATAAAAAGAATCCAAACAGTCCTGTAAAAAAAATGGCGTCAAGTAGTTTGACTCTGCACTTCCCACTCAACACTGTCATCAGATCATAAAAGATTACGTTGAGCACAAGTGTGTCCCTCTGAGCTAGCTACAAACATTTTTGACAAAACAGTGAAATGGATCAAGTCAATACCATTAGTCCATACTGCATAGTCCCCACCCATTTAATAACTCTAACGCTAGTTTTTGTTCTGCCCTAAGTATCCACCATCTGGCAACGATGTTGAACCACACCAGTCAACCATGTCATAAATGCCAGCCAGGACACTATAACTACAGCTCGAGAACGTCGGCGATGCAGTCAGACGCACAAGGAGTCTGGTGCATGAAGATGGCCCGCGCTCCGACCGACCGCGTGTCGCGTCTGTAAATATTTCTATATGTTTTGCGCGAAAATATACAGGGAAATCGATGTTATATCATTTAAATTCAACTTTACTTTTTAAAAAATTTATTTGAGGACAGTAGCTACTGTCCGTTACAAACGTTTACAATTACTTGACTTGACGGAGTCTAACCGGGTATTGAACACAAAGTTTACATAAGTGACTGTTACGGTGCCTAGCCGGGTATTGAACACAACGTTTACATAAGTGACTGGTACGGTGCCTAGCCGGGTATTGAACAACATGAAATGGGCACAAGGCCTATTTATACTATTGCTGTGCTTACAAGGCCCTTCTAGAAAACAAAGCATAAGCAACGAGTTACCGAGAAGTCGTTATCTGTTCCTGAGCTAGCGTCTAATGCAACATTGTATGGAATAGCAAGTCCATTGTTGTGCGTGCATATAACATCGATGTGTGAAATATGTACCGATAGTTACGTAAAATCACCGGGGCTGGAACGATAACAATATATTGTCACGAATGGTCTTTTCTTGTCGCAGTTAGAATGAAATAGTTCTAGACTTTCAACGTTTTAGTCTCTCAGAATTTGACAAAACCTATTAACCCCTTAACTAACAGCTCTATACTTCTTTGTATACACAAGAAACATGTGAAGACCACTTTCTAGAAAACTCAAGAAACCTACAAACTTCGCGAAACATATCGACAGCAGAGTTGTGAGGTTTGTGGGAAGGTGACCTTGATCATTAAATTGACCTTTAAGGTCAAGAAAGGACAAAGAAAACCTCTGATTTTTATGCTACGAATGGAAAAAGCAGGGAATTTTACATCCAAGTGTGACCTTGATTTCAAACCCCAGGTCGTGTCAAGATTAAATTTTGTTTGAGGTCAAGGTTATATTCATATGTAACATTTCAAGCTCTTCCATTAAAAGTATAAAAACGTTCATTTGACCTTGAAGGTTATGGTGAAGGTCACCTTTAGGTGATCCCCTCAGACCTCATGACTGTGCTGTGTAGAACATTTTTGCTAGAGCAAATTGTTTTTGATGGCTTGATTTGACCTTGGCATGGCATTGAAGACGATGTTCAATGTCATAATCAAGGCAATGTTTGGACGTAAAATTTGCCCGCCTTCGCATCCGCGAAATAAGAAAGGAGGGGTTCTATTTGAAAATATCAACATGGCCTTGATATGACCTTAAATGTCGTCAAGGTCTTTGTCAGGATCAGCATCATGTTGCCCCCTCGAAACCTTATAACTTTGGTCCTAAACCTTCTAGAATGCGCTGTTTCCGAAATATCTAGGAGATCAAATGGAAATGGGACACCGTGTATAACATGACGCATCCTATGATGGGCATTTCGTGGTACTTGACATCCTATACTGCAGACGAATTAGATAAATGAGCCAAACTAAATTTCGTCCATGTATCCTTTTGAAGTAGAAGCGCCACTTGGTGATATCTGCCACAACAGCAGCGCTACCCGGTTAATGAATGATGATTTACGACCAGATTTGTGGGTTTTGTGGTGACACGTCGTATTTTTATATAATAGGCTGATGAATGTTGGGAATTATTCTCAGAAAGAGTTACTGCTTGTCGACTGCGTGCGGTGGGTCTCAAAATTAATGCGATTTACTTTTTTTTGATTCAGTCGCATATGTGTTCAAGTCTAATCTAAATATATTTGAATATGCAGTTGCTTCAAATAATTGTGTCAGATTTATTATTCAACTTTTCACATACATGGTGGTTCGATTGTCGAAATTTCACAAGTACTTGTCACCTCATTCCAAAAATCAAAGTTATATGTACAACCTGCCGAATTTGTGGGCATTACGCGAGGTACATGAGTTGTCGAACTAAAGTATTGGGCCAGCTTGGACAATAGCGAGGAGAAGACAAACACTTAATTATAGTTCCAGGCGACAGGGGTCGTTTTAGCATTTTTGTATATTTCATTCAAACGAAGAAAAGTGATATCTTAACTATATGTACGAGTATCTTTGTTCCAAACTCTATGACTACAATTTTAAAATAGCACAGTTACAAGTACATTTTGCAATCAGCTGCAAGGGTCAGCGACATCTGAGTTGCATTTTTTATGTAGTAGGGAGCATTGCACTTAGTATCGGTAATTCTCGAGATATCGGAAGTTATGGCCCAGGCTGGATGACCTTCTCAGCAAGACCTTTTTATCAAGCGAACATTCTGTACCTTTTTTCTTCTTCGTTAATACGCTAATACGTCTAGGTCATCACACCATATGTTTTCTTGGCGCTCCTATACTCCTCGACTTATTTGGTGATTTATCTTTTACTGTTCTTATTAATCTAGTTTCTTATGTCCTACTTTTGGCTTTTCCATTCTGCCTTTCTGTCTTGTGCCAAATCGTTTATGTTTTCTATTTTGCGCCTCTGCCTGATATCTATGTTTCGTTGTCTGTCCCATAATGACAACCTCCGTCTCTGTTACTCTGTAGCAATGCATTAGTACATAGTTAAAACTCCCTTCTTGCTGAATAATTTTGATATCCACTCTCAGTTTGCACCTTATTGGATTTTTGTTTCTTGTTATTAGAGAACAAGACCGTATACTGCATCCCAGCGTACAAGAAGAGATCTGAAAGATACAAACGCCATCTATAAGACAGCAGCAGAACACAAAATGTAGACATCTGCTTCAGTAAGAGTTAAAGTGTCTGGTTTTGCTATTGTTTTATAGACGGCGCTAGGATCTTCAACCCATTTTTGGCCTCTCCTATGCCTGTTGTAACTTGGGATCGTCAGGCAGCGATAAACGATTTCTACCTAAAGATGCCCAATCAAAATCAGCATTAGAGATGCCAAAAACGGAATCGAAGGTCCTAGCATCATGCAAGGACAGCAGCAGAACCAAACATTAACTCTTTTCAAAGCAGTTGTCTAAGTTCATTGCCGTGTTCTGCTTCTGTCTATTAGAGGGCACTACTATCTTTCAGATCCCCTTTTGGACGCGAGTATAGACTACACTGTCGGCTATCTTCAGATAGAATACGTTAATCAATGCTGCAGGTGGTTTTCGCTCTCGCATCGTCATCCTGTATGTTTGCTGAATGCCTTCAACCGCTCATAGCTGCACCTTGTGCCTTTCCACCTAAAGATGTGAACATTTTGATATCCACGACTTACGCAATATACCGTAAATGTGTTAAAACAAGCATCGTGGCCACAATTTACAACCGATAATTACCACATTGGCCGGAGTCGGAGTGCAGTTGCCGGTGTTGTTCACATAATCATATTTTTCCGTCTCTCACGCGAAACTCTTCCTGTCCAGCACCAATAAATCCACGGCCTATCTCGATCGCCTCACGTCAAATAAACAGACGGTCAAACGTCTTTATTGCACAATACGTCGGATAAACCCATATGCATCGTTGCCACATTGTTGCCCATATATTGGACAACTAGGTGGGGTTGCGCTCACCTTACTTCAAATTAGTCGAAGTATGGAGCTTCTTGAACGGCACAACTTGATTAGAGACAGGCAGTATGTTTCCAGCACCGGTGGTCCACATTGGACCTCCTTGCTTACATCATTCAAATGCGGAGTAAATTTATCCTGCCCTCTTATGCAAACTTTCATTCTATAGCCTCCCACAGACGGTTTGCAGATGGGTGGCTGCCCTCCCTTCTGGCCGTAAAACATCCCTCCTAATTGACTGGTTCTCCTCTCCATCCCACAATGTCAACGCGGGTGTTCTCCAGGGATCCGTCTTGCTCCGACATTGTTTCTCTTACAACGACCTCGTTTCCTGTACGATCAATCCGTCAACAGCTTTGCTGATGATATCACCCTACATGCAGGAATTGAGAGTGACAAGCCGATCTTTGTCGGTGAGACGAGAAGACTAGCTGCGGCTTCCTCTCTGACGAGAGGCCTGGAGGACATCACTAGTTGGGGACGCAACAATCTATTACAGTTTAATGTTTCCAAAACACGGTACTGTACCTTTAATAACAAGGAGGACCTCAGCGGACATCCGCTTCGATGGCCGAGTTCTACCAAACACTCGTTCATTTCGGCTGGTCGGAGTCACCGAGGACTCGTCAATTGCAGCAACTGCTGGGAAAAAGCTGAACTGTTTTTGTAGGGCTAAGAAATATGTTTCTTCACATAATCTCATCACTCTGTACAAGGTCCAGATAAGACCAAGCCTGGGGTACTGTTCACATGTTTGAGGGGCTGCCTCCCCGACTACATTATACAGCAGTC